ATTAAAGTACCTTAAAGTACTTTAAAGTACATTAAAGTACCTTAAAGCACAAAATACGGTGTTTCCCCCTTGAAAATACTCCATATTTTACTGAGTATTCAATATATGTGTCGGTGATTTTATCATTCCAATATACTTTCTCTTATTCTCTATTGTAAGACCATTTCATTTAGTTCTGTTTCTGTTTGAATCAATGGCAATTCTATCTTAGCCAAGGTCTTTTCAACAAAAAGTGAAAGACAGAGCAATCACACAAAAACAATACAAAAAAAAAAAGAAACGGGGAAAAAACGATAACAACACTATTTATCTGTGTTACTTTGTTTATAGCCCAGGTCAATCAATCCGACACGGATCCGATGGTATCTTATAGGATCCAACGAGTCCTACAAAATCCGAGTCACGATCCGACGAACAAATCCTAGTGTTGGAATCCGAGAGACATCCGATCGGATCCGACAGAGATCCGATCAAATTCAACAGTCGGATTCGATAGGAACTCCAGCAGTCGGATTCCGACGAGATTCCTATAGTATCCGATCGGATTCCAATACTATGGATCCGTTAGTCGGATCGTGACCCGGATCCAATAAAATCCTATAGGATCTGAATAGGATTCGATAGGATCCGATGGGATCTACTGTCGGATTGTTCGTCCTGGGAGGTGACGGCAGCTGCTGAATGAACATCAATTTCTTCAGCTTGACAATTGAATATTCTTGATAATTCAATAAAAAATTCTCGAATATCAACTTCCATGTCCGATGGCAGATAAAGACGATAGAGTTGAGGAAGATGAATTTTTTCTGATAATTCACCATAAAGTAAAACATTGTTCAGCTTTTGTGGAAATTCACATTGAACACCCATTGTTGATTTCACATGCAGCCAAACAGATCTATCTCTTCGAAGAAGATTTTCAATAGAAGATTTCGATGGATTAGCGGTTTTTTTTCCCGCTGAATTGAAACAAGTTGGAAAATATTTCATCATATACGAAGTGCCATCGACCGAATCACGTAAAGATAATTCATCGATTACTTGTTGAAAGAAATGTTCCAAAGAAATCTTTGCGATACTGAAAAATGAAAAAGTGTAGTTTTTCTGTCGATTGAGAGATAGAGAACCAACCTTCGGCAAAAGACCATTTAATGTAATCGATTTCATTTTTATGTTTAAATTGTATAATCATTTGTTCATAAATAATAGTATGTTGAATATTTGTAAGAAGGAGTACACCATCAATTCCGATCGACGAAGAATAAGATCGAATGAAATTGTTGATTTGTTTCACTATCTTGTCCAATGTATCAGACCATAAATGTTTCGATTGATCATCAATCTAGAACAGAGATAAGCATAAAGTCTTCGTGTTAAAATTAATTTATCTCTTTCTACACTCACATTTTGTGTAATTGATGAATTTGTTATCGATAGACCTAAAGAAAAGTCACATTTGATAGGCTAAAATAGGAGTGTTCAATTATACCAGTTTGAGGGTGTGGGTGTGGGTGTGGGTGGGTGTATTTCCATAAAAACTATCAGTCTCATTTATTTTGTGCATTTATTCTCTAATTTCTGTTTGGCTTGTTGATTTGTATTTCATATTATGTGTTTTATTATGATTTCAATCATTGATTTAACTAGTAAATAAGTCGATTATATGTATCCATTAAAGTTAGAATAGGAACAGTTTACCTTTTCTATATTGATCCCATAACGACTACATACTATTTAAAGTATTCACAAACCTATTTCACCGATTGAAATTTCAAGAAAGACTTTAAAATGTTTTAGAATAGTCTAAATCTGGTTGATGATGTCATTCAATGTATTTTCTCTTGCCATTCTTCTTCATTTTACTAGGAAAACTATGCTCATTTGGTCTCTGACCTTTAAACCATGTCGTTGGAGTCTAAGAGAAATTTGCACAAATCTGGATTAAAACTTGCATTTATAACCAGTACTTTTAATAATACCAAGAAGAGTGTGAATATAGATATTGATATTTTGTTTAATCACATCTACACTCTTTGAATCGTTTTTGGTTTAATATATTATATGTAAAAGCATCTACCATACTTCATCCTAGTGGATTGTTTTCTCAAAATCCATTGAAAATGATAAATTGAAAAAGTCTCGCACTACAATCGTTTCTGTTTATTCAAATAATAATTCTTTTTTCTTGATTTATTATTCGTACTTTTTATTATTTTGTAATCAATATATAAAAAAACTTTCAGAATAAAAAAAAAATTGAATATTTTAATGTAAAAAAAGCAATTCATCGTTATTTTTAGTCAATATTATTATTATGATTTTTATGTGCAAAACAAAATTGTTCATTTTCTAAATACAAACATTCTCAAACTTTTGACTGTCATCAGCATGATTGTCTATATATGCATCGTTCATCTCACCGTCATATATTAGAAAATCAGAACATCAGTGTTTTCTTGTAAGTCGATAGTCTGATTATCGCTTGACAGTATTTAACCGCGTTTATTTTGGGTCCGTTTTTACGCGTTTTTTTATTGATTTTGTCTGACTGGGGAGTATGTAAGAGAAAAGATTATCTATACCCTACATCTCACATCCTCAATTAATGAAATTGTCGCAATGACCACATTTTAAGCAAATCATTAAAATAGGATTTGCTTCTGTGTGGTCATTGCTTTTACTGTTGCCACCCTAAGGCAACTCACCGTTATATAAAGCGGACCCGACATAACTAGCCGGGTTTGCATCGAGGTATTTCTTTAGCAGGTGTTCCACAATGAATCCATAGTAAAATTGAAGTCGAAACTTCGAACACTCTTTCATGATAGGGAACAACCAGCTCAATCTTACTCTGAATTCCTTGTGGAACACCTGCTAAAGAAATACTCCACCTAGCAGAAGCGGTGAACTTCTACGTGGTACTCTGACTGAGTACCTCGTCGAGCTTGGCAACCAAGCTGTTGAGGGTGGTTTGAAGCGCCGTAAGGCCAATTTCAACCGCCGTAAGGCGAGTATCAACCGTCGTAAGGCGAGTATCAATCGTCGTAAGGCGAGTATCAACCGTCGTAAGGCAAGTATCAACCGCCGTAAGAGTGGCTTTGACCGGTTTCAGAGCATCATCAAGTTGCTGCTGATCGACCGGTTCACCTTTATTACCAGAGAAGTGCTAAAAAAAAAAATAGTTTTTTTGTCAAAAAGAAAAAAAAATTTCAGAGGGTCCCTTACTTCATTCTCGTTTATTGCCATGTTTTCTGCTCACTTCCTTTTCACCTCTGCTCTTCTCAAAAAAGAAACAAAGCCCTTTTTTTTCTTTGCTCAACCTATCATCCAATTGAATGTGGTCTAGAGGTTCAGCTGTCTTTCTCAATGGCTATTACTAACATCAGTGCCTGTCATCTATCGCATTCGAAGGAACGTGTTCAACCGATCGATCGCTTATGAATTCGAAGGCTCAGCATTAGGGGTGATCCTTTATCTTTACTATCCTATAAAATAAAGGATAAAGATTAGGGTGGTACTTTACTGTTACTTTATAAAATAAAGATAAATGAATCTTTTATTTTTAAAAAATAAAGATAAATGAATCATTTATTTAAAAAAAATAAAGATAAATAAATAAATTAATCCTTTATTTTTAAAAAATAAAGATAAATTAATCACTTATCTTTAAAAAATAAAGATAAAGTAAAGTAATAAAGGATTCTTTTTTCTAGCGATAATGCTGTTGCGAGTGATCTAGGACCACAAAACTCATATTCAGAAAGATTTTTATCATGAAATAAATGTGTTTGTATTGAAAACAAGCTAGTTGAGATATAACATGAACTTCTGCTTTTTTTTAAATATTTAGCCGATTTCGGTCACGAAAATGAAAATTGACTCAAAATTAATATCATATACTATAAATACACACGGCATCCATGCATTCGTTATCAGATCATCCTGGTATACACCGCTGATCTCGATCATACAAACAGTCCTCTCCAGGACTAATCTATATCTTGATAAACCAAATAGTCCTCTTTAGGACTAATTTACATTTTTTTGAATGACTACCAATTGGTTCGGTCTAATTTCAGATATGTCAACTAATGGTTCAGTAGCACATGGCAATGAAAGAGAAGTGGGTGATGCGGCTGGTTTACCAGCGCTGATCCCCTTCTCCGGAGCCATCACTCACAGTCAGGTTCGGCAACAGATGGTTGGTCCCATCCTTAATGGCCCATCAGCGGCTATCTGGAGAAGGACCACCATCTTGCATACCACGACTGACGGGTCTTTCTGCTTGTATGCCTGCGAGCGGACAGCGCAAGCCATGTGGGTACCGTCTAGTGAATACTTCGTGGCCGACAGGCCACGAGGAGGACAGCAGACAGGTACTGTCATGGATTACCTGGTCGCTCAACGGAGTCGAGCAGATAGACCCGAAAGCTATGGTATCCACAATACTGGTCGTTCGGCTTTTGGCGAGAATGGGGACATTCGACGACCCAGAGTCAATCATGCCAGTATGGTGGGTCGTGTGGAACGACCAGCGGCTACTCGATCCGACCGTTTCAACCCTCTGGTTCGTCCAAAACCAGCCGCGGCTGGAACGGGCAGCCGGAAAACAGTAGCCCGGCGTGAACGCCGAGAGAGATTGCGTGCGGTGCGAAACTCACCCCCACCACCGACAATCAATTCCACAACAACAACAACACCGGCGAGTGGTGGCGCCATTCAAGGTGGTGACGATGCCAATGAAAATTCCAACAACGAGGCTAGTCTAACACCACCACCAACCACAACAGCAACCCCGCCTCTCAACATCCCCACTATCATAATCTACAACAGCACAAAGCGTCCAGATGGCGACACAACAATACCACAAATCGCCACGCTCAATCTGTCCGACGACGACGATGACAATTAACCAAAAACATGCGGCCTTTTGGCCCATGGCCATTTTCGTCTTTCTTTCTGTTCGCCGGCAGAGATCCTTTCGACCCTCCGGCATTTTTTCACATTTTAATCGTGTCGCCTAGAGAAGCCCTTTCGGCCATCTAGAACTGCCAAAGAGGTCCATTCGGCCATTTGGCAGTTTCGTTCCTTACCAGTAGGGCCCATTGGGCTCTCTGGTGATTTTTTTTTGTACATTAATAGGGTCCTTCGGCCCTATAGAGCTTTCACCATTCTTCTTTTGTTTTCAAACACTTCCACTTCTCTTTTTTATTTTCAGATTCTGATGACGTGTGGTTAAAATCACACAGAAACTAGTCAATAAATAAAATTCTACAAAAACACAAAAAACTTATTTTTTTTCTTTAATTTTTTTTCATCTCGAGAGTAGTGAACTCATTAGAGAGAGGTTATATCTGAATAAGAATAACCAACTACTTTTAATTCTAATAAAGTACAGTAAGCTTTCTAGCACATCATCTTTTCTCTCGATGAATTTTGACATATACTATTGAGTTTTACCCAAATTTAGAGTTCAATTAGTTTATACTTTTCTATGCCCATCGTATTTTGACTCTGCTAGATCAATAATACCGATACCCTACTAATTGACCCTATAATAAGATCATTTTACTGCATTCAATATTAAAATCCGCAATGATTTAGACTAGTTAGAATCTGCAGTACAAATCTGGTATTCATGGAACGCTTTCAAAGATTCTAGAAAGTTCTCGAATGATCTAAGCACTCTTATTTCTGCAGCACCTTTCCAAATTGGCAGGAAAATATACTCAATGATTGTTGACTTTTCTTCTTCCACATTCGGTTGCTAGGATTTAGGGGGAGGGAGCAGAAAAATATATAAAGAAATACGACAGATCGTTTCACTGATGATCGATTATTTTTGAAAGATAATTATAGTCTGATAAAGA